TCCGTTTTTGGTATCTTCCTTATGCAATTATAAAACGATAAACAAACGATTCCATATCGTCTACGGCAGTAGTAAAGTAGCGAGTTATGGGAAAACGTTCAGTCTCAAACAGGCCGTTCACATCTTTGCTCCTTGGACTATCAAGACAAACTCCTGATCAGTTAATTGTTTCAAGGCTACGAGAGCAATCTCGGACTTGGTGAACCAATTAGCCTTTGATCCGGACTATATCAAGGCCTATGTACTCGTACTTTTCAACAACAACAGTAAGCCCTACTACTTACCCACTCCTTTCATTTCGTACTCCCATAAATGCTAATTTTCTGCTTAGAAATGTTGCTATCGGATTCATACGGCACCTTTGCTGACATGGAAATCGACCTACTCAAAGCCATGCATACAGGCGACGACAGCGGTGACTGCACGGATGCCGTATTCTCGAACGTTGCGTGAGTTCAAAAACAGAATATAGAGCAAAAGTAGGCGAGCAGCTGGGTCAGGACGTGCCGTCGCAGTTGTTTCGAGACTAGGTCAGCCACTATGGCCAGTCGACTCAGGCCACTCCACCTTTCACAATGAAGAGGTGGAGGCCCTGAGACCGGGTGCGGCGGTCCGCTTTCAATGAGGTCATACCCGTGGTCCTTCCTGTCCCATACCCAGGGCCAAGAAGATTTCAAATTCCGTTACAGGGTGGTTCTTGGAGGGTTATTCTTGAGCATTGATCGGTTCTATTTTTTCTGTAACGAGTGATAATTTGATATTAATTCATATAATTTTTAGAGCTGCACTTCAACGATATCTTACCTACAACTCGCAGGTTTATGTAATAACAGATGGTCTTCCAAACGATATTGACAAGATGGAGACAGTCTTCCATGTCGACTCCTACCTACGCGTACCGGTAAGGACCCTTTAGCCCTTCTCGGTCACCAGCATTACGAATCACATTGTTTACTTGTGTACAGTTTACTTATGGTATGTACCATTGGAGGTACCTGACCAGAAAAATCTACTTTGCTACCTATGACGGACCATCGGGCGATAGTTTGGGCCTATACGCCCACGCACTTTTGGATTGCATAAGGGACTGGACCTTAGCACTACTGCAAGCTTCCTTCGATGTTTTTTCGAATCGAGAAATCAAGGAAAGCCACATGTGGGAACCTGCCACGAGGGAAGTTCTAGGAGAACTGATGTGGGCCATTTATCAGTTGCGTAGAGGAGAAAGTGGAATTTGCTTAGATTTACTCGACTACTTGGGATGGGCCTAGGTTAGCTCTAGCAGAGTGAGGTTGAACTTTTTGCCGAACAGCATGTCATTCAGGGACTACGACCTGGTGCTTGCTCAGGAAAGTTGGAATAGCTAATCTTTTAGCTACCGATTACTGATTTTTCAGTTGAACTTCATCTTCTTGGAACCATCTCCCACGTCCGGCTGTACTACTTCCATAGAGAGTTCCAGCTATCGTGCAATGGACTCGTTGGCAAAACGAACTGGAGGAATGACGTTCTACTTTCGCCATGATAGCGGCCTCATCTATGACGTAACTAGCAAATTTTCTGATCTAATCGTATTTTTGCTATTTTTTCAACCTGGCTTAGAAAGGCAAGTAGCACCGGAAAATAAAATCGCAAAGATTTTGGAAGAAAGAAATCCATGAAAAAGTTGTCCTCGAAAGTAAAGTGATTAGCTACAGCTTTAGGAGGTCGTTTCTCAGAGTTGGGAGAAGCTGGGTCCAACAGCCCGATGAATCGGGTCTGCCTTGTGTGGGACCGGAATACACTGGTACCGAGTTGGTTGAATAACTTTGCTAATAGTTGGTTTTCAGTTCCTCTACCAGCATATGTACAATATTATCTATCGATCCCAGCTTCTGCTATCGAATGATCTGCCCTTATGTTCGAGCCAGAACGTCTACAATCAAGTCGCGATCGATATCTCCGTTGAACAGCTTGTGATTGTTGCAACAGGAAGTTTGTTTGTTTTACTGAAAAACTTACTTAGCGGTAAACAATCACCCAAAATGAATTGGGTAAGAAGTTGTGAATCGTTCCATGACTTCAATTTCAAGGGAACCTTTCATTGGTATTGTCAACACCTGATGGAGACCTGGCTCCCTATGACAGTGTTTTCAACGATGGGACCAACTATATCTGGTGAGATCGTGCTTTCTTCGTCTAAAAGCCAATCACTGAGGCTTCTGGAAATTTCAATGAATAGAGTTAATCATGATTTCCTGTTCCAGGACAAAAAATGGACCACAAGTCGGCAACTGGCTAGTCTCTATGTGGACGTCCGATCAAACACTGGGATGCAATTTCAAAGTTTTCCAGAAATCCTACCACAATCAAGGTTTTTGTTTACTTTTCTTTACTAGTTTTTGTTTCTGTCATTTATTTCTTCCAATGGAATCAAAAATAGCATCTGGGACAGTTGCATCAGTTGATGATCGTTGCCGGATGAAAGGGAAGTGGCTATGGAGAAAACGAACTTGTCGTATAAACCCAAAATTGGACGAGTTGTCTCGGAGGAATTTTTACTCTTTCTTTGGAATTGTTTGTGGAATTTATTTCACCGGAAAGAAATGCGGCATAGCCTTGAGAGGTGTGGTGGTGCTAAGTACCTCCATCTCCTGCCCTTAGGGTCCAGGGCTGAAACCTCAGATTGGCACCAGCTCAGGTGTGAGTAGTAAGCTCACTATTCGTCCGAGTTCTCACACTTGCATCTAAACTTGTCGAAGAGCATGAAAACTTTGAAAACTCTTCATGAAGGTGGTCCCATTGATGTTATGGTAGGAGAGCGGTGGAGAAAGAAAAAATGATTTCAAACTGACTTTGACGAACTTACTCTGAACTTTCCATCAATTACAGACTGGTGTTTCAGCTTCGCTCAGTGATCAGTACGACCTCTTTTGGGCTGTTGCACCACGGATCGATTCCGATCAGACGCTGCTCCAACCTCAATATGGAATGGGTCGAAGCATCGTCATGCATCTGACAAACTATCGTCTTGATACAATGCCAGAGCGAGTTCAAACGTACCTGTCGATTCGAGCCATTCGCGGCAATAAGCCTGTTACGGTAGGTAACTGCACAATAACGAGTATGGTGCTCAAAAAACGACAGGCTGACGAAAGTAGGAAGGCCTTGGAGATTTCATACCACTGGGTTGATTGCTGGGTTATTTGAATGGCGTCGTTCTAGCGGATATCGGGTTATGAGCTCTGTCTAAGTTAACGGGCTCTGGCAGATGTAACATACTTTCAATTTTCAGAGTATTAGAGTTTCAGGTTTATAATTCGAATGGAATTTGGCGTGATGGCTGTTCATACCAATTCTACTTCCCTTCAATGACATGTCAAAATCCCAATGAGATTCTTTATTTCAATGTGGGTTCTTTTCCTTTCACGAAGTCCTTACTGCTCAGTAAGAGAAGCTGCATCTCAATATTATGGAACATAACAATATATAGTTAGATATAACCTTGTTCATTAGGCAAATGATTCATAGAAAAATACGGATTCATAGAAAAATACGTCGCGTCGCGACCGCGCGCAGCTGAGGGTGACAACTTCTTATTAGCGTTTGGCATTGCGAAAAATGGTCACGGTTGTTCTATCTGAAAAAAGGCTATGGCGAGGAATTTCTGCTGGCATTTTTGATCACTGCTAAGAAATATTTTGCTTTACTGCCACCTTCGAAAGTTTTTTATCACACCACTCTAACGGGCAGCTATCAAAATATTTCTCTGCCATTGTTTTTAACAATTTATTTCTGCATTTACTCATTCAATTACTTGTTTATTTAGTTCTTCGTCTTGGATTCGTTAGGCTTCAGTGTTCAACGTGCTGGCGTGATGTACTGTGTTTACGGTAACTTTTATTTTTGCAATCAGACCATCTCTCTCTTCGCCACAAAAGGGGTGAAACTCGTTTGAAAAACCTTGGATTCTAGAGTTAAGTCCGGAAACGTTTAGGCGATATGGGGTTTGAAACTCCTTTCTGTATAAGAATGTATATGAAGCCATGCCATTAAGTTCGAGAGAGAGGAACTCCCTATTGTAAGCAGTGGGTTTGATTCAAAAGTTGAACCGGTCAGTTTCCAGAGCAGCCAACTCCTCAGCCACCTCCTCATCAATGCCAGAATGGCGGCATCATCAATTCGGCCAATACTACTTGCTTCTGCCCACCAGGATTTACTGGAACTTACTGTCAACAGATTGTAAGTTAGCCTCAGACTTTTCTCACTGCCCGGTCTTCTCACCAGGTGGACTTCTCTCTGCATTGGCTTTTCTAGATGTGCTATAACGGTGGAACTCCCGCAGGTGAAAGGTGCCAATGCCCTGTTGGTTGGACTGGTACCTTCTGTGAACTTGGTGAGTAAAAAAGTCAAAATTCTGTCTTTTGTAGGCTTTTTGTTGAGCTCTAACAGTCGCATTAGCTGAAAACCCCAGCCCCTAGAAGTTATTTCCAGCCAAATGCACAAGTAAAGGCGCAAGCCCGGAATATCTACGACTGAATGTTGACATGGTATTTGTTCTCGAACTCACTCAACAAGCTCATGCTCAGGTGCGTTCAGTCATGTTCCTCTCGAAAAAAAATGCACCTTGAGAGTAATTTTATTCCCAGTTGACCTTATTTCTGTTGTGAGTACACCTGTGGCAGAGGTTCTTCCCTGCAAGCTATTGAACACACCATTGAATCGTACGTTCCTTAAAAAATTCCAGGTGTTCTACTTGAATTCGGTGTTCGCCGATCTCATTAGGAGCGTTCAATCTCAGAACAGTCAATGGATTACTCGATATATCGTCGTCGGATTCAACAGCACCTGTGAGTCCTCCACAATGGGTTTGTGGTGGGAGCCTCAATTCAATTCCAGCGCGCGATGATTCTTGGCTAGTTGTCTCGCTGCACGATACGTCGTGTCACTTGGGTCTGGCCCCAACCAGTCAAGACCGTTGTTGTTGTGCACGATTTTGTGGTGAGATGGGTGCATATTTATGTAGTGCCTGCCCATCCCATGCCCATGTTATCTCACTGGCCAGAGAGGTCAGTAACCGAATAGACGTGGGGTATCAGCTGACCTGGCAACCATTTCCGTAAGGGAGTGACATAACCACTTTTATCCAGTATTTTCGACCATGTTCTTTAAGTTTTAGACCTTTTGTCAACTGACATATTAACTGAGCTACTTAAAAGGGTTCAGTGCTACAGTCCAAATTCATGCAATGCAAAAGAAACCATATAATATAACGTCAAGTACCTCTTCAACATTACAAAGCTTGGGTAACTATTCAGGGGCTGACGTGCTCTATCAATCTCCATCAAACGATCCAGCAGGACTGATCGCTTTTGTTGATCAGCTGAGCCAACAGGTGCCAACGGATACAGGATGTCAAGTGCAGGTTAATTCAGCGACGCTTTTTTAATGAATTCATGATCAGAATGAACCTTATATTCGAGCCTTATGAGCGAAAACTTTCATAGCTTTCANCATTTATATGTGTCATTTAATAGTTACTTTATTCGATTTACTCCAATTCTGCTCGAAGTTATCAAGAAGTTACCGGTTCAACATCTTTCACAGTTTAGACGCAATTAGCAAAGACTAAGTTTAATGCTACATTCCACTCGCAATCGAGCATACTGTAATGAATTCATTGCCGAGACAACCTTCATCGGAATCATACTGCGAAGGGTTTTTCCTCTTTTGAGTCTTTGGGGTTAATCAATCCCGTTTTAGGAGACGCCCTGGCTTTGGATTTCTTTAAAGATTTGTAGTGGCGCTTAGGATACGCATCTAGGCTACACAGTGACTTGCGGTGGCTAGTCGACGCCTAGGGCACTGCTTTTATCCTCCTAATTTTGGTCTGTTACCAATCGAGAAACCCTGGAAGTATGGCAGCCTGTTGACCTGAGCGGATATCGATCCGGGATACTTCTACTGGAAGTTGTCTCTTGACATCTCAAGAGACAAGTTCAGCTATGCCGAGATTGAGAGAAAGTCGAGCATGGTCCATTCTACTAGAAGATTTTTCAGTTATGGAAAGCCATCGATCTGGTGTCTGGGATCGTTAGGAGAGGCTCTTATTTAGAAATATTTACGGTTGGTCAATTTAAGTGTTATTTTTGATTTTTTCGGGAGCTTTGTTTCGTTCTAGTGAATACCACGATCAGATTTAGCAAAATCTACTGGGTTGTGGTTCTGGTTGAAAACGAATGATTTCAGGCATCCCCTCAAACCAACACCACCGACGATAACTCTTACACCGTATATGAAAGGGAACGATCATTGGGTCTGCGTGTCAACGCCTTCGTCAACGCTCTTGAAAAGGGATACGCTTGTGGTGCAACTGATGTAAGGAACTATTTAAGTTTTCAAAATTTCTCCAACTATTCCAATCGAAGGTGACCTGTCGTGATACTTTTTTGATCATAAGTTGGTTCGGAAAATTAACCGATTAACCACCCATTTCCATCGTTCATGGTTGCTGAGTAAAAAGCAGCTGGAGAGTGAAGCTTGCTGACGGGCTCGTAAGGAGGGAAGGTCCTCTCCAATTCTCTTAAACTGCTCATCAGAACAGTGATGACCACTTTCATGAAGGATCCCCTGCTGTAGGAGAAAGTGCCATTGTCAAGATTTTCATGTCCTGGTTGCTTTTTTTGAAAAAAGGCAAAAAGCATACGTAGTAGCTACGCGTCGCAGGAAATTGAAGTAATTATCAAGTCATGATGTAAAAATACCCATCGAATTGTTTAGGCTGACTTCTCTTCACTTCTCGGTTTGACTTCGACAACCACTGGATACAATTATCCAGTTCATCCAATGGATCTACCAAATGTGAGCCTAGCTTTCTCCACTCATTAACACCCACACCAATACTTTCTCAATTTCAATAAATTATTTCAATGGGACGCAAATTTTGACTGGGCTCTTCAGAATGGGCTTAGGCTACTTCAAGCCTTATCTGGCCCTGTTATGCTCTACAGAACCTACAAGGAATGATCTTCACAAGTTCCCTACTAGTTTCCTTTTCGCTCCCGTCGCGCGCTCGAGTAACCTTCTCGGGGTAAGGCGTAAGGTGCTGGCTCTCTGTTGCAATACATTCCTTTCAACCCCTCGCCGGGCTTTCCTTCCTGCTTCGCTACTCGATTTGTAGGGAAGATATCAATTAGCCCTAGAGAGGAGTGCTGATAATGACGGGACCATCAACAAATACCGTTGGAGTACCGATTCCTGAGACACGGACTAATGAAAAAGGATCAAGATGAGATGTACCTAACTATCAAGTTCAGGCCGTACGTCTTATCCCACTACAGTTTTCTTCCGGAATCGTTTTCTCGCAATATCAGCCAGATTGTGTGGGTACCATGCAGGTGAGTGGGGTCTAACACTAGCATTATTTCCATTGCTTACTACTTTGTTGCATGCTCAAATTATTGCTCTTAAGATGTTCTTCCCTATTGATGCTTATGCGCAGACTATTCAGTTGAATGTTGTCGGATTCAACAAAACCGTTTCGGTCTACGATGGCTCTGGTAAGTTCACAGCACGCTCAAGGATACTGTAGATTGATTACGCTTTAGAAATTTGGAAAAATTGTTCTATCATGATATGTTTACATGATATATTTTAGGGGCACAAGTTTCTAAATCAACATTTCTGCAATTCTTCTGCTCTTCTGTATTTGAAAGTAGTTAAAATTTGTGAATGTTCAGAGCGTCATGCTTTACAAATGTCTGATCAAAGAATTGATACTATAATACTTACAGTTCCATTATCGGGAGCAAACTTTTGATCCCCATGTACTAATTCACTCAAAAAACTTCTTCGACTTCCTCATACCTTTCGAGTACCAAGGAATTCCTAATTCAAATTGGGCGGTTTCAGCACTAACCCTCTTTTTCTGAGATGAGCGATGCATTTGACTTTCCATTCCATGTAGGTATGTGCGTTCATACTGGGACACGGATAAACGATGAAATCAAGGAGGTGCCCACGCATCCAACATTCATTCCGAATCGTAGTGACGTACTGATTGCGTAAATGGCCTAATCCACGGCATACGATGGCCAGCCAATGTGAAAAGTCAGTGCCTCCAACCTCCCGGACGAATGTGATTCAAAACAACTGGAGAGATGGAAGGCCTGCTTGGACTAACATAAGCGATCCCAGGGCCATACGTGTGGGAAAGCGCAGGACTTGTCATTGTCACGCCTCATTCTTCTCATCCCGGTATAGACGCTATGCACCACTCTGCCATTTTGAAGTTTCAGCTCCTGGTACTCCCGTGGTACTGCCGTAGTGCTAATCCTGAAATGGAACTTACGCCTTACTCGGTGGTTTACCTTGACATTCACCCTATACAAGCAAATATTCAGGAAACTGGCAACCGTCGATGTCCGTTCTGAGTGATCCAATAACTGGATGGGACATTTTGGAGATTCGAAAACGTAAGTTTTTAGATCTTGTGCTTTCAATTGAATTCGAGCTTTGACTGAGCTCTGGAGCTTCAGTGAACACCCTATAAAGACAGCTTGGTCATGTATGTGAGAAGTTTGGCCGGGCATTATGTTCACGCTAAGAATTCACTGTCAATGATGGGGCCTGATGTCACTCACAAGATAAAAAGAAACAAACATGGGAAAACGCACGTTCTCTGGCAGCCAGTGCTTAAAAATCTAGGGCAGTAAACAGATGCACGGCGTATTCCTCCTCATAAAGCATCTCTCAATCACATTGTTTTGATGATTATTTTGTTTTTTTCTTTAAGAGTGCGATCAAGGTTGGGATGAAGTTGGACAGAACTGTCTACGCTTTGTGCTATCTCAGTCGTCGTATTCTGATGCTCGACAATTCTGCCATGATGCAGGTGGTAGCCTTGTCGATGATCTTAGCGAAGTGAAACACTTATTCTTACAAAGTAAGGAATTTGACGCTCAGCATCAGAAAGAGTACTATCGGTGCACAGCAAATTTTCCTCATTAGAGTTATTTTCCTAGGTGAATCTGCCGGCTTCGACTTCTGGCTCGGCCTCACTAATTTCAACAATACTGGTTACGTATGGGACGGTCCAGATGGAACGCCTCCGTTGCCGGTTTGTTCCTCTTGTGAACACATAAGTAGTAAGGTTTCTGGCACAAAGAAAAGGCAAACACTTAATAACCTGCAAGAAATCTAGGCCATTCAGAATTTTCGGTAGATATTATACCTTCTGAACGACCTAATGTTTTAACGCAACGAGTTAGAAATTCAAAATGTTTAGCTCTCAAACCCAACTTACTGGGTAAACAACCAGCAGCCAGTGTATGATGCCAGTAAGGAATGCGTCTTCTGGGATAGCACCCAGCAAGCATCCGGCAACACTTGGTGAGTTCATTCAGAGAAGGGATGCTGTAGTGATATCAAGGTTCTGAAAGGGATTGATTCTGTAACAAGTCTATAAGCGTTCTAGAACTGAACCGACTTTAAGGGCAACACGTAGAGGTTAGTAGACAAAGAAAGAAAGCATGGGTTCATGCTTTTTTTTCATTCTTTTTGGTAATAATTTCGATAACTGCATAGCATTTGATCCCATCGTATATCGACCCAGGACCGGCTAGCAACGACTGTCTCCCTTAAGCCCTGTGCTGGAACTGCAACTACATGCTAATCACCCTGTAAAGAATATCTTCAGAATGATTGTTTGAAGCAATCATTGAAGACAGAGATCTGATGCGTCTCGGCGGTAGACCAGACGGCATTCGTATTACCAGTACCACGATGGCAACTATCTTACCTTTGGAGGGATGCTTGAGCTTGAGTATGGATTTCACCGAGTGAACTCAACAGGCACCATCTGAGTCATGGTGGACTTTTCTGAAATCGCAAGCCCTCACCAGGCTTGCAACTAACTGGTAAGGCTGAGCTCTAACTGACAGGCTATCACTGGACTTTGCTCATTTCCTGCTTAAATGACACTTAGTTGCCCTTGTTTATTTATTTGTTCTCACTGATTGTTGTGCTGTCATTGTTTACTTGTTTACACCCTTCAAAATCTATTTCTATAGGACCCCTGATGCGTGTTCCATCAAAAGATCATTCATCTGTCAAAAACATCGCTACGATCCTGATCATCGTCCGAATGTCATCGGAGAACGTTGGTTACTCTTCTGACCACCCACTCAGAGCTACAGGTTTTATAATAGAGAAGCATTTTCAGTCGATCTTCCCGCTGGGAAGTGGTATGTCACAGTGAGGGTGGATTCGAGTACACAGCGGTCCTGCTTCGTACAGGCTCGAGTACAAAGCGATCTACAAATTGTTCCCGGCTTTGTAACAACGGCTACCGGCGACCAGCCCGATAACGATCCTGTTCAGGACTCGCGTAAGAGCTGTTTTCCAGTGATAATATTTCCGTGTGTGAATGTGGATATGTAAGTAATTGTGTTTAACATTTTCCCTGTCCGCAGCCCAGAACATCTCTTGTGACAAACAACAAAAATAATAGACAACAGGGCATGAGGTCAATACATACTATGGCGTTGACACGCCTTCACTAGGCCAGTTTTTCATGCAAGGATGCATCGTATCCATGGGTTCAAGATGGAGGGTCCCGACACGAAGGTAACAGGGACAGCATGTGCCGATCTCTACCCTCACCGTACGTGATCGAGTCGATCCTTAACAAAAATGGTTGGAATATACCCAACAGCGGGAGTAAATAGAATTAACATCGATCAGGAGAAGACTACAAGGGCGCTGTTCGATGACTCTTGGCAAAAGGCCCAGAGAATAATTTTGATTGTTTTTCCTTTCTCAATTATGTTTCTTTTCAGCCAACAATCGCCTTATCACCTATATCCATAGTTTGGACAACGCCAATCGCAGTCCCATTCTCACCCATGCTCTACTGAATGATGCAGCTAACGGTTCTCTTTGGAAATATACACAAATTTTTGTAGCAAATGAGCTTTACTTGCGATGAATTTGATATTTATAACAACACCATATTATTTATTTTGAAAATTTTATATATTATTTATAAGTGCCCAGACTAGTCATGTTCCGGAGAAAATCGCTTCCTTATACATCTGGACTGCTCTAGGAACGTTCTACAACGCCATGACATACAGTCAAAGGGCCCAGTGCTCGTATCCATGGCTCACACAATCGTTCAGTTGCCCGAATTCGAATTCAGCCGACAATGAGTTTACGATTACGGTACGTGCCAACATTTGAGACTGTAGTCGAGTGGAATTAGATATAAGAGATGTTGAAGACAGGCTAGATCCAGCTATGCCTCATGGGCTTGTCCAGAGAGCGTCACAGTTTTAATTCTCACTGGTATGGATTTCTGAGTGAGGAAATTTTTGCACGATATGGTGCCTGAGGGCACGTTCCTTGGCAAAATGGGCAGGGACCGTAGAGAAGCACAATGAGGAAGCTGCCCAGGTGGATCGTTGAAAGTTAACGTCAGAAGATAGAATACTTTTAAAGTCGAAAATATCTTACAGTTAGAGCCTTTCCGAATGAGATTTGACTTTCATGGCATCTGAGCGGGTAAGAAGACGAGACTGACTGGTAGCCGGGACTTTTTCAAATTCCTCATGGTCTGGATTCTTCTAATTTTTGACTGATTGTGGCCCTCTGGTGCTTGCGCTGCCTTCTTTCTCCACTTTAATTCTCAATTTATTCAGTTATTTACAGAACTGGATAGGTATTTCTATGTAGAGCCACAAAGCGAAAAAATATGTCGACTCGACACGGACACTACATACATTACCACACAGCATAAACAAATAAACAATCACCGGCGCTATTTCAGCACATGGGTGAGGACGAGTACGGTAATCTCTTCCAAAGAGTGACGTATGGTCATTGTTCCACCGCAAGTAGGCTACTTTAACTACATACCACTACTTTCACCTTTTCCTCTCACGGCTTGTGGCCATGCCATCATGAAAACACTGAATTTTCCTATTCAGCCATAAACTGCAATGGTGGAGTGCGATGGCAAGGTCTTTGCATTTGTACTGAGTACTGGACAGGTCGGTAATAGCTCATGAGAATAAAATGCTGGATCTATAACTCTATGAAGTATTAATTCGTATTGTGAACTATGGTATCTCTAGTTACTGAATGTCTCTCTGGTTGTATAGATTTCTGTTTCAACTTGTGGATGTACTTGGTATAATTATTGAATGTGAAAAGTTGAGTTCAGGTAAGCAATGCAACATCCCGATTTGCGTGAACGGTGGAGTCTTGAGCCAGGACTACAGAAGGTGTGAATGTCCTGATGGCTATGCCGGTGAACACTGTGAATTCGGTAGGTTTCCATCTCAAGATATCCCTATCGCTATTATAAGTCTCTTTGGCAAATGCATTTCCCGTTCATAAACGAAGGGCCCCCTCATTTTCTTTCCAATTGCCATTCTGGGACTTTGACTTCCTATAAGGACGAATTCACTTCTGCTGATGGTATGGTAATGTAGGCCCCGCAACAGTATGGCCGGCCCTTCTAACTACGGTGATAGATCTGAGTATAAATAGACATAAGGTATCTGGCGCTAATAAGTCCCGTTTTTGGGGATAAGCCAGGCACGCAGTTTTCATTCGAAGATGTAGTGGCGTTTTGAAGGCATATTTGGTCTATACAATGCCTTGCGCAATCAAGCCGATGTACCTGTCAGTATTTTTGCCATCCCAGAGGAGTCTGGTACCAAGAAGTCGACCTAAATGGAAGGCTTGGTGTGGGTCTGGGCAAGAAATAATTCGGGAATCAATCTACAGATCATGTTTCGATATTCATTGGTTGTTATTTCTCTTATATTTAAAAATTTTCAGAGGTATGTATGGCCAGGACACCGATTACGTTCTCGCCTAATGGGAAAACGTTCGTTCTCATAGTGGAAACCACCTTCCGTAACCAGCCCATGATTGACGCGGTTAGTTCTGTTCTCCTATGAAGCTGTCCTCCCATTTTGTTAGATCCATTGGTAGGTTGCCTGATTCATTGAAAATGAACACGTTACCCCATTTATCCTCCCACATAGGTCTGCTAGCATTTATCCTACCCCGGAGGAATTGAATGTTTGGTTGGCCTTGGAAGAAACCGATCCAGAATTTGATCTTCAGATCATGCGCGTGCCACATGCACCAGCCCTCCATCCGCCTGGGAACACAGGACAGGGAACGACATATTGACGCATTTTCACTAATTTCCATCAAACATTATTACACTAGCTAAATTGATTTATTCAATTTATCAGATCCTTTTTTATGCGCTTTTGTTTATTCTATTTACTAATTTCATTGGTGCGACCTCCTTGTTATTTCCTTTTTTGAGGTGCATTCCGTGACACACCAGTTCTCTTAGCAGTACGTATTGTGTGGTATCATTAGCTTTGAGTAAAGGATAGATTTCAGCGCGAAATCCATCAATTCAACTGAAAAAAAAGCTAAAATCGAGACTAATCAATGGGTATGGATTTCAGTTGGTCGCCAATCTAACGTCCATTGTCTATGGAGCTCTTCAAAATGGTCCGTGGTACAGCAACTACGCCCTCGTCACATATGACTGTGAGGTTTACGCAATCAGTACTTTTCATATCAACATATACTCAGTAATATTGAGTTGAAAAAAGATGAGTAACTGTCTTGATTACTTCTTACCTTCTGTTCAGCATCCGGAGTCACATCACAGTACTTCCAATACACGAATATTGGTTCGTTGGTGATGGGATTGAATTCAGCTGCAGGAAGGATGTCCGATCCGGGTTCATGCAGTATGCCTCTCTATGGGTGAGTAACTCAAAGGCTGTCCTTGAAGGCTATTCTTGACCATATCGACATTCAGTGCCCTTCGAACAGCCCTATCGTCAGTCTACGTTCTATCGCCGAACAGTGAAGTCTTTGCGGTCACTTCAGCCGGTGTCAGTGATCGGCAAGTACGGGAGGGAGACGTGGAGCTGGTCTCCAATGTTCAAGCTCATGTCAGTTTTTGGTCTTGTAACCATTTTACTAGGTTGTGGATCGTTTTCAACAAGAGTTCTTGATGATGAAGCAGAGTCTCCCATGAACAGAAGACCTAACCGTAGAGGAACCAGAGTTCGAGTGGGCATACATGGACTGTGAATAGCCAAAGGATTAACAGCTGGAAGGGACAGTAAGGCACTGATGCACGGCACCCAAGTAGTGCCACGATCAGTTCTGGCAGCTCTCCAAGCCATCGAATCGATCTGAACCACTCCTGCCCAATATCGATAACCTTATCAACGTCTCTGAGCAAATTTTCTACCCTTCTTCAATTTGAAGGCGAAGTATTTATTTGTTTGGTTATTTACCATTTACTGCTTAACACTACTAACCCTCTAGGATTGTTGGCGCTCAATGCAGTCTCCCCAGGACAGTTCGGGCTGGGTAAACCTACCATATGTTCTTCTTTGCCGCCTCCAGATTACAACTAAACATTACTTACTACTTTTACCAGTTCACCATAGAAATGGCGTGTGAGCCTCCCGCTAAGATTAATTCGTTCACTCCAAGGATGGCACGTAAGAAATTAAATTGCTTGAAGACGACCCTAATAGCGCTTTATAGGCCACTGAAAGCTTTATAAGGCTCGGCAGACGTATACCCAAAAAAGTGACCGTGTTATGACGGCCTTTTAATACTGTACTATTTAAACGAAGCTGTAGGACGGCAACGAATAGTACGCTTCTGTGAAAGACCCCCAGATGGTCACAGACGCATAATCTCGTCCAACCTCCTTTTTGAAGCATAATATTTCTTGAAAATCATCAAATTTTGTTTGTTCTTCTCCAATTTTGCACAGTTCCGTACCATAATTTCCATTTCTTCACTTAGTTAGATACCTAGAAATTATTGCTAACTCTACCTCTGCTGATCAATTTTTCAGTTCACCTACATATACAATTCGGCTTCGGATTGTGGAACGATTCCCTATGACGACTCTATCACCCAAACAACTAGACTTGCATATTCTTCTAGTGGTAATGTATTGTTCGTTACCGCCTCGGATTTCTCCCAGGTAACAGTTCCCACTTCATGACACGTGTTATTCTGACTGCGTAAGAAAAAAGAAATTTGAACAGCCACAACAATTGAAATCTATGATAAAAGTTTCGATCGTAATTACTGGAAGTTTTGAAATTTTCAAAAAAAAACATCACATAATACTTAGAATGACGATATTATTCCTGTTAATATGTAGCATCAATGTTCATATTTAAGGAATTCAAATAAATTACGATTACTGAAGTAGTTGCTCAATCAATTCAGGGAATATTCTGACTCACGGAGGTTTTCAGATGTTCTCCGTCTATCTACCGACTCTCTACGGATCCTACGTTCTGACAAATCCAACTGGTCATCAAGGTTTCAAATGTTCTACGCCCAGTGACTGGTACGTTGAAGTAGACTTTGCCACGACGGCAATTTACGTGACCACATCGGCTGCCTATGGTTCTTTGGGAGTGATCAATCCTATGAGGGGTGAGTTTTCAAAGAATGTTTCATTTGAATTAACAACCTTCATTTTTCATAGAACCGTTGTCTTACCTTTACTCTCTGTCTGGTAATGCCACAAGGAATTTTTTTAACAATTTACTATTCTTGTAGATGAAGTCGTACCCACCATCCTCTTCAAAACCAGCGACTCACAAATTTACGAGATTGATGTGGATCGATTGCCTGGCGTTTATACTCTAGCAGTAAGTAGTTTGTTGTGTTTATCGATTTTTTCAAAAACTTAAAAAAAGGGAAAAAATTTCGACAAAAAAAATTGAAAATTCCATGTTCAAAAAATTTGAGTTAAACTGGTAAACAACAAACTACTTCAAGTTTCTATTACTTAATTATTTATTAATTTTTGCTGGTTTCCCTCCAGAATCTGAGATCATTTCAGCTGACTTCTCCTGGTGATTGTTTCGTTCACGTATTTGCTGTGGGTGGAGCAAAAGTCTACTACGAGTTTGCTGAGACCACAGACATTGATCCATCTGCCTCACATATCGACGGCTATAATGGATCACCAGAAGTTGGAGGTAGCTACTGACTTTTGCCTTCATCAAGTCCTTCCAAAGGAGAGGGACCTGAAAAAAAAAACGGATTTCACTGGCAAATATGTTGTAAACCTGTCGATCTGACGAAAAGCCTGCTAGATCGAGAACCTGCTAATTTACAAGGCGTAACATGGATCCTTGTTTTTCACTGAATCGCACTGAAATCAACAAGAAAACAAAAACAAAGAAAATAAGGAGTCCTTTATCCCGTAAATCTTGATGTACACTTGTGCACTCCATCTACGCCATTTACTGCACAGTGCTCCATAAAAACTACGGTGACTTCTGGGATATCATACTGCAGGTAGTAGTCAGGGCTCAAGAGCAAATCAGCTCCTCAGTACAGAGATAATTACGATCTGCTCAAGGTTAGCTGTGAGGTATGACGTTCAGGACCATTTAGGTTAAGTGAAACCTGGGAGTTGGTGAATGACACTCGAATGTCCAAGATCAAAAGTCGAAGTCCAACAAGACGGTGATCCCTGACAACCCCCATAGAGTTCTGTTTCGATCAATTTCGCTGTATTTCCTTCTTATAGTATCCAACGTCGTGACACTGCACGTCGATGCTGCAGTGGGTACCGTTCTCAAACAAATCGAACTTTTCGACCCAGACAGTCTCCAGGTTTGCGATGAATCTTCCAAATACCGTATTCCTACAGTATTCGTTTCCAACTTATACATTTGCCAGGTAGTGCTTCGATCACCGCTCTATCGACGAATGAACTGCTCATTTGAATACTATTCTGATCCATTCACTTGTACAAGTGAAGCGATAGCAATGTTCGTATATGGAGAAGATGATCGACGTCAGCCATTCCGTCGACAAGAACTTACCTACTGTAGGGCAAATATTAGTTCAGGTATGTCCTACAGGTTTTTTCTGGGGGAGGGGGGTGGGGGAGGAGTTCTGTATTGGGGAATTCTTATATTCAAGGGCTTACGAAGCTGTCATACGTTCGTATTCCTTCAGTATTTACTCAATCAGTTGTTTTATGCGGATTTAGAAAGATAAAATTTATGAAAGCGTGAATTGCAAAAATGTTTTCCGATGCCGGGAATCGAACCCGGGCCTTGCGGGTGAGAGCCGCAAATCCTAACCACTAGACCACATCGGATTGCAGGATGGTCTGCTATCCGATGTTAATCTCTAGTAAGAATACAGCTGATAACTTAACTTGATTGTGCCGCGAGAACAACTTTCCATAACCGAGAGTGAGTTACTCCCACTTTTCTTGAATGCTATAAAGGGATGCCTGAGTTATGAATTTTTCATGATCGAACCTTTCGGGACTGGAGAGACCCAGTTACTAACGGTCCCATCGACCACAGTAAAGCCATGGTTCTTCCCGTCTATGTGATCAGTACCGTTCTGAGATGCGCTCATGCATGATTGCCATTCAGTTTTATAGCGACTTTGGATGCGTATTCGGCTTGTACAAGGTTTGCGATTCTGTGACGACCTCTCGATGTACGAGTCAATGGATTTATATCTGCCAACGAAATTCATTTAAAGAAATCAACCCTCAGAAACGGAACACTTGATTATCTTCGGTATGCCTGATGGTTGCGCCGCCTGACACTGCGCCACCGTAGTTGAACCAAAAAATCGATGGATCGATAGCTATAGTTTCACGTATGTCCTCATCTTGCTTACTTACTACTGGCATGAATATTCCGCGATACTCCTGGAAAGTATTGTTCCTAACACCGCGAAAACTCTTAGCGCACTTTATGGCACGTGTGAAACCGGAGTTTTTTTTAAGAATTTTTCTTGAGTTTTCCTATTTTCTAAATTCAATGATTCTCCTTACACAAACTGTCCGAAAAACTTCCAACTTCATAAATTTCCGCATTTTTGCAGCAATAACCTGGACAGTGTAGGAATTTTATGTGTTGATGATCTTCGCCCCACTGTCAAACCGTTCCCCAGGCGACCTTCGTTCTGAGGGTATACTTCTCACCTTAGAAATAGGAATTTGCCACGGAAGGGGAAGAATCTCGAGGCCGATCCCTATTAGCTTACTAGAACTCTAGCTAAAGCAAGTAAGGCCATGTATGATGCTGTTCTATAGTGCCCTTGCCAGTTGTACCGCTAGAAGGAAGCATGTTGAGAGCAGGAGCTCATTTTGGGAGTTTCTCCCAGACCCTCAGCTTCGACAAGGATGCCCTAAAAGTCATAATTTTCCAAAATTCCCTACACAGACTTCCTGAAGCGGCTTAATAATCCCGTTTCCTACGAATCTGGGTCTCACTTTTTTATAGAAATAAACATTAGGTCCTGAGAGCTCGATATTTATTTTTACCTGGGTGAGCCACTTCCCAAAAAATTTCGTTGCAAAAGTTCAAATCTAAAGGCACAGTTCATTAAAGATGAAAATGGTTTCCGAGATTTCATATCTGGCACTATCAGGTCGGAAAACGGCCTAGTTAGGGCGTTATAAGAGCTCAAAGATTGTATCGTGTATGTACATATAGCCTCGGACGAGTTTCACCGGCATTGCAGAAACTACACCATTAACAAGGGAACCCATCTAGGAGGCCAACGCAACTGGCATTTACCTATAGCGACAGTAAAAGACATTTCTGTACAGTTCTGGCTTGATGTAGTCAGCTCTTTGCGCTTTTGCAACAACTGAAGTCTCGTCCGAATACCCCTTCCGTGCCATTTCCGTCATGGTAATCTCGCACAGCCTCTATATGCACTACCCCTATGGGGGGGCCTTCTTTTTCACGGAATCGGCGTTTTTTCGCATCCTTCACCATCGATGCATTACTCCCAACGAGTACTTCTTTTTTTTGAATAGGAAAGGATACCTCAAAATTATCGGGTACTGTGC